TTGATAATACAATATTTGTTGAGATAGTCATTAATAATCTGGAGGCTCTAATACTCTCAATAAATGGAACAAATAAGAGATGTGCGACCAAAAGGCAAAACTGTGCGTGTTACATAACATTTGTCAGTCTGCAGACTATCTACATGTTGTGAGACTGTTAACTCTCGGTCAGTATTCACTTAGCCTAAGACCGAAGTGCCATCAGCAAAAATGGAAAGCATTGGTATTATATTTGACTTAAAATCACTAATGAAAATTAAAAACAAAGCTAAGCTTTAATCAAAGAAAACTGAACAGTAGACATAAGCAAACGTGTAGTACATTGTCAACAACTTTTGAAAGCCCAGATAAGCATCCACAGCAAAACCAGAATTAATAAATTTGGACACATTCTTAAGTAGATTTGTGAGACAAGGCCTCCCAGGACGAAGCCCATGTAGGAGATTGTAGGGACACAAATAGCCTGCTGTACGTAATCGATTGCATAATCAATAGTTGATAGCCCTGTCTTTAGAACACTTTTTGGTCAATAGAGAGATATCAGCTTGACACCAGTCAATGGGAACAGGGAGTCTCACTAAATTTCCTGAATATTGGACAAAGTGGGTGCATCTGGACTCTTATTTATACTTTCGTTTCTTAGCAACTAGCCCCGGAGTTATTGATGTCACAATAACGTGCCACACAAAACTTGAGGTTAAAACGCACTCTCAAGATTCTCACTAGTAAACACTAGTTCAGGCTCATCGTACTGAATTACAATAAAAAATGTGTAGGCAACGCGATATTTCACACCCTCGATGTCTAGTTTTATATAGCACGACGCTGGTTATACTTTTCATACGCTCACGTACATATGAAGGGGAACACACGGAGGAGGGGCTCATATTCCACCCTAGTAAAACAAACGAATGATATATAACAATATAATATGATCATTTGCAATTATATATTCTCAAATAAAATCTTAGTCACCATAAGTTAATTTCTAGATGTCACATTATGTATGAACATTTCATTAATACCACAAACGTTCGTGGTACTATGACAAATAATACGGCGTTCGCAACTAATCGAACTGGTGGTTGTCTTCATCTTGAGCAAATCTTCGCTCAGCATTATCGTATTCCCGTCTTTCTTGATCGTTTGAATCGCCAAGCTGATTCAGATCAAACGAGCGTCCTTTGCTACGTCTATGTTTGGGTCCACTGTACTATAGAATAAAATGAACATAGCATTAGGATTTTGATATTGTGTAGCACGTGATTTAATAGTGAATGTCAGCCAGTCTGTCACCTACTTACTTATTTAGTTGAAAATATAGATGACGTAAAACTAAAATTAACAAGGTATGAAAAGGTTATCGATTTAAAAATTTGGGAATTTATGCAGTATGTTAACTTGAAATTATATACTTCAAGTTCAAATAAACTATATACAATTTGGGAGTTGGATACATACGAACTTTTGCCATGTGGCAGTAAACATTAATGTTCTATTTCAAATATCGATGCTCAAATTAGACATATATTTCTTATTCAAGGCAAAAACCATCCGTTTGCACATTTAATGAGACACATAATATGTACTTACTGATGTTGCTTCGACAGTGAATGTTTCTGAAATTAGTATTCCAATCACACAAATAAGAAATAAGATTCTGCCGTTCATGTTGTTTCGTACTTGCAAAGCTCAAAATAATGGTACTGAAAAAAAGAAACATCATTTGACAATTATAGCAAATGGACACAATAACTAGAACGTCTTAGAGTAATACTAAAATTAATATCGCTCTGAACTTGAATACAGATGATGTCGAACTATTGTGTCAACAGTCTATAAAATATACTATATATAGGAACATATGCAGATAATAAACGTATTTGCAATACGTACAATTGAAGATGTGAGTTGTCAGCGTAGTAATCCCCGAGGTGATGACTGTTTCGTTTTATACACGGTTTATATAAGAAAATAAAGTGACACAATTCAATGAATCTTGTTTTCAAGTAACGCAAATATCCAGATAGATATAACAGGAATGTAATCCGTGCATTAGCAAATGTATTGGAAAATGATTTATTTGGTCGAAAGATAAATAACAGTGCAATAAATTAAATTAAATGGGTCAATTGGACATCATATTAACGATACTTCAAGTGTCAAAGGCAACGCATCTTAACAGTTATATATATAAAAGCACATGCTGAATTGCACAAAGTGTAATTATAGAGAAAAAGAGTAAACAGTTCCAAATGTATAAAGATATTATGAGGAATACGAAACACCGTATTTACGTTTGCTATTAAAGGTTTTATAGTTTGAATAAATCCAGCCTCGAGCCTAAATGAAATGAAAATTTGCTCACAAAAAGCAGTTGATGTTGTTGATGACTTCCTAAACAATCGTTTTGTTTTTTTCCTGCAGTTAGAATATCTCCTTAAAATTCAAATAATTTACATTCAAATAACTCGAAGTATACAATCAACCATTGTGTCTTAGAATATTTGAAAAACTGTGAAACATTAACATGTTGTGCAGATGAAAAATAAACGATTATTTAAGATCAATATCAATCAGGTCGAGTGGAGCTTATCTCACTGATTGTCTATCGTCTTGGCATCATTTTTTGCATTTTCGACTTTTTCTTGAAGACCGGTATCCCAATTTTATTAATATCGTATACCTTGGCTGGGCCTAAGATTTATTCAGATTATAGGTTTTTAATTTTGTTAAAATGTGTACAAATAAATGGTAATAGTTGAGTATTCAAACTAGTATAAATATTGTTATACGCGTGTGTGACTTGTCGTATGCGTATGATTAATGCATTCACTACACAGCATTCGATAACTCCTAAAATGTTACACTTCTCTCACTTACGTTCGATTCCACTTCGTTTGTGAAACACAAAGCACTGTCAGTGAACCGCTGGAAATATCCGCGCAACCTAGCGAGATTTTCTGGTAGGGCTGCCTTCTTATAGTAATTTCATCTTGACAACAAGAAGTTTTAAAATATATATATCTTACTTGCCAAGCGCTGTACGTCTTTAAAATGAGAGATGGGAAACCACTCGTTCAGGAATGATTTAATTCTATTAGGCAGTCACACAACCTATGCTTTTGAAAGGATGCTAGTTGCCGAATTGGTAGTATCTGTGTATATCTGTAATCAAACCTGTGATGATGGCTAAGAAAAAGCTAGAAGATACTTAGAGCGACTAAATTATGATATAAATCCATAGTAATCAACATAATGAAAACAAATAATAATAATAATAACTTCTATACGTAACGAAAGCCACGAGGAGGGTGTGGGGTTCAGTAATAACATACCATAAATTGATGTGTTGACTCGATTAAAGCCCAATCATAATCATAATGATTATCAACCTATCATATCTGGAATAGATGGCCATATAAACTGTCGTCATCTTAAATAAATCTCTATTATGCAGATTCTCAATCAGTTACAATCAATACGAAATTCAACAATTAGTTAGACCATAATTGTTGGTTACTGTTGCTGTGTTATATCAAGACATAGATCAATAACCATCAATTCAATAGTGCATGCCTATATATGCCCATTCAAGATTTCCGCCATCATTTCAAATTGATGCAAATTAGGCTGTTTGAAATTAAGTATATGTATGCAAACTTACATACTGAAATTAGATTTATGTGAAATCCACATCAATGTTGTCACAAATCGGCGGTAACATGGTGGCCGCTTTTCCATAAAGGCAACGTCACTAGATGTGTGATATCAGTATATTCATTCGTTCAGTCGTTCAATACTATGCAGCTAGCACAATAATATGCGTTAGCATGGAAAATAAAACGCATAAAGCTAGAATAAAGATATAAAGTGTGTAAAAAATACCATGAATTTAATTCAGTGGAACTCAATTGAAACTCAATTATATAAAATTGTAATGTAATTGAGTTGTATTAAATTGTAATTATATTCCAATTCTATATAAGATGGCACTTTAATTCAATTCATTTCAATTCAATTCACGTATTATGAATGGCGAATTGATTTAGTGGTGGCCGTTCACCTAGCATGCAGTTATCATGCTACCCGCTTGTCATGTACTTGTTTTACACTCATTAATGCTTATGTGGTGCTAGATATAATGATTAATGTAATAACGGGCATAGCTAAATAAAGCATTTGGCAATAGAGGTTGAATGTGAAACAATTCGGTTAATGAAGACATAATACGTTAATTTCCTAATGTGCAGCAAATTGTCGGATAGACACATGTGAGGCACACCTCGGCTGTATTTAATTTACGTCAACATTGAGTAATACGTTCTGCAATATGAAAACTGTTTAAACACTCCGTGGTCCATTTCATATCACGTAATTTCATATAATTGTACTGAGTGGAGGAGATATGAATTGTTAACTGCCAAACAAATCATGAATATTCATACCCAACTGATCTTTACACGTGTGTACCTCTGGTTGTTCAGAGCGAACAAACGAAAATATTTAGCGTAGCAACTCGGAATATATATAAATGATCTTTCTACGAATCTATGTCGAGAAAATACGATTAAAAACGATGATGAATACATTTAATGATCTCCAAAGTTCAACTGTGCTAGAATTTATAATACAGTATACCCCGTAATTCACGCGTAATCCCAAAATTCAAATATGTTAATGTATGTTATGTTCCAAAACAAAAAAAAGTATGATATAAGATTATATTTCAATATATTACTATTGTATGTTTTACTGCAATTATAGATTTGCTTGGTCTATGCGTAGTAGCAGTACAGTAATTGTACTTCAAAATACAAAACATGGAAGCAGAATTTGCAATATAACTGTAGGTTATAATTAATTTGTGTAAATCGTTTTTTTTTAGGAAATTCGTGAAGACCAAAGTCAAATCGAGAAAATGTAATATTCGACTTTGTTTTATTATTTGCGATCGTTATCAGCAATATCATATTTGCCAACTCTTGAAATAACTAACATTTTATTCCTTTATAGTTAGATGTGTATCTCTATGGAGATATTCATACCCTCTGTTTGTGACGATTCACTGATTATACCGCTTGCTTCAATGGAGTGTTAATAGTAATGGTAAAATTATTGTCGCTTGAGTTGTTATATAAAGTCAAAACGTCATCAAATCTCACCCGCATCAATCAAAAAATCTTAAATGAAACTGAGGAATTATATGATATAAATGAATAAGAAAGAAAGAAACTGAAAACCGTCGTAATAGTGAATGAAAATAAATGAAATATAAAATGATAATTTTGTAATTTGTACAAACAATAATGGTAATACAAATTTAGCATAATGTAGTATGAATAACGATGGCTTAATACGACGAATCCATTCCAATACATAAATGCATATGTAGTAATGGGAATAATTATATTCATATGACAATGGAACAGTCGATTTTATTAGCAATAAGAAAGATAACATTCAATATAGAATATTAGTGGAGATTTTGAATAAATGTATCGGTAGTTCCATTGCCTCGAATTAATGGCATAACATCGTAACAGATAAAGCTATATTGTAACAAACTGTCAACATACCAATGAATAAATGTTGTGCTTTTTAGTTACAGCAAGCAATGTGTTTTTGATAAATAGCGTTCTCGACTTCAAACTCATTTGGGATTGAACACATATAATACTCCTAGTTTTTTCCAATGGTATTGTTTGTCATGCTTTTGCAAAACTGTTTGGTTAATGGAATTGTCTATACATGTGCTTACTGATTTTAACATGGTGACGTTTTCTGTGTTTGGAAACTGTATTGCATGTTATCACCAAACCAGGACTGGGACCGAAAAAAGAAAATTTGACAGCTGCCTATATACAGAATTCCCACTGCCCATAACATTCATGTTATGGGTCCATCAAGCAAGCGAAACAAATTAGATTTCAAATGCCTGAGTGGGTGTATTAATAACGAGTGTGATTAATATATTGTGGGTGAATTACGAAGACACATTTCATGGCAGTCATCTTAGCGTCGTTCGACATGTAGCAGTCTACCGTGAACATCACGAATCAGATTGGATAGCACACAGCAGAGTATCTGCATATTATCAGCTTTGTACATATGCTTCGTACATTACCTCGCCGGTTGCGGATGTTTTAAAAAGACGATATGTGATTTATCTATGTGTAGGACATGCCTTGACATGATGCAATTTAGCTAGTCATTAGAAAGCAGTACCATTTAGGTATCTCATACTATGGCCATTATCGATGTTTTGTATATGTTCTACGACATTGTAACTAAATGCAAAGAAACAAAACATAGTCACCTCATCACTAAGTATTTTCACAAATATTAAACTTTATGATGTGGAGTTTGTTATGTAATCATTTCACAACATATCGAGGATTGTTTTTGTTTTTTCTTTCGAACGTTTCCGTATTATATTAGTACTCGGTAGAACTCATTTCTTTACGTCTGATTACCCTTCGGCATCTATCTGGTCCTCTGGAATTCTAGTTTTCTTAATGTAGTGTCATATTTTTGTTATATCATCAAAGCTGTCGAGCGGCGATAAGTGTCTATAGGTAACATCATATATATAGGATTTTCGCAATTTTATTCAACATATGGGGTAGTTTTGTAAAACATTCCCATTTTATGACAGATACATATTGTACAATCAAAAGGTTTCAATAGTAGATGAAAATAAAACTGTTCTTGTCAATGGTATCATTCGCCCATGTCCACACGACGATTAAACAACACAATGTAACAACAATTCCTTTACACAGACTGCATTTCACAACTTAGGTTTACAGAGTGGATTTTCATATTTGTAAAAGGTACTTATCCATTCTTCCATACAAGAAAAATAGTTTTAAACATATATATACACAGTGCTGTGTCTAATAAAATGTATCACATCA